TCTGCTTTTCTTTCTTGTCCCCCCCCCCCTTCTCTCTCTCTTCTTCGCCGGATCTTTTCCACGCGCCCGGCGGTATCCGTCCGCCTGTTTCCTCTTTTACGCTACTCTCCTGTCCCAATCTTCCCGAGTAAACTTGCGTTCTCGAGCTTCGTTCTCAGCCGCGATGAGAGGCACGTTCCTTCACAGCGCTCGCCTCGTCACTCTATTCTCTCTCTCTCTCTCTCTTTCTTTGAGCTGGCTCTTCCCTTTTCTCTCCCTCACTCGCTCCTTCACTCTCTCTTTCTTTCCGTCCAACTCTCTCCTTCTCTCTCGCTTTCCCTGGCCGTTCTGTCGTCAGCCACTGATCGGGCACACCAAGGGAGAGAGACACCGTGCAGGTCGTATTACGAATCTACCGCACTCGACGGATCAACGGGCACCACCTTCGCTCTTTCACACACACTCCCGTTCTTCGTTCTCTCGTCCGATTGTCACCCGCGACGATACTCGACGACGGAACAGTCCACACGGCGCACGCGGACGCACGCACGTACGGTTATCTTCACGCTGCGCGAGGACGTAACGCGACCTCGGTGCGAACGACAACGTCAACATCACCACCGTACGCTTTCGTGGCGGCCATCTTTTTCGGGGATACGGTGGCGATACACGAATCACGAAACGAGAAACGCACGCGCGTACACGACCGCGAGTGCGCGCGCGCGCGCGATCGAACGAGATTGGCTACGATCGGCTGTATGCGCGCGCCTTAGGGAAAGATAGCGAAGTGCAGGGACGTGTCAAAGTGGGGCGCGACGAGCGCGGGACCCTAGGATGGAAAAGCCAAGCGAAGCGAATTGGAAACCCGCTGGCGAGCCTGACCAATCGGGGCGAAGCTAACTGACGACTGAGATCACGCGAATGGTCGAATTCTAATTCTCACTCTCTCGCAATTCGAAATTGCTACTGTGGAATATTTTGAATAGAAACACAGTCGTGTTGAGACTGTAACACGTTTTTCCATAGATTAACTTTTTATAAATATGATTTAATCATATGCGAAGATTATCGTGCCTAAATATCACGTCGTATGAAGTGACGCAATGAGCGCAATCGACTTTTAGTTCTTTCGGAGATAGTAAATAACAATGAATAACTTGGTTGACTGAGTTGTTTTTTTCAAGGTTATATTATTGTTATTCTTCAATATTCAACATTCAAATATAACAACATTGTCGTGTTATTAATACATAAGTTGAACGTATTATATTTATTTTTTATCATGATCTGTAACAACCTGAAAGTTGACAATTGAACGGAATACACGGTGGAAATGAAGAAAACAAAATAATCTTAGAGCAACTTCTATTTCCACTTGTACAAGATATTCCTAGCAAACATCTCAATGTTTTCTTTCTTTTGTGCTTTTAACAACAGATAAAACATCTTCTACTTATATCAAATATATGGATATATCTCTTACAAAAATTCTTTCGAGTACAAACTCTTTTTCAAGTTACAAAAACAATATATAAATTTGTATACAAAAATCACTTCATACAAAATTTGGAAGTATGTATATCTCTATGTATAAAGAAATCTATATCTCTTTCCATCAATAAATTCTATGAAATTGATCAAACGTTAGAAACGAATCTTTTTTAACATTATATGTACAATTCAATGTACATTTTTTTTTTCTTTTAGAATATTGATATCAATATAATTTATACCACTAACTAAATTCCAATGTTGTAGATACATGAAAATAATTTCCATTAATATTGGCCGTCTACATCAAATTCAGAAACAAGAGTCATGAATAAAAAATGACATTTTTCTTAAAGAGCTGCAAACTTTACCTTTTCTTTTAATTTGGAATGCCTTCAGTCCGCTTTCATGTTTATTGGTTATTTGCACAAGATTTGTTTATTATATTTCTTGTTTCCAGATATTGTATTCCTGAGTTTTTGATAATTTCGTTTCATTCTTGTGCAAACTTGACTCTCCTTATATTTTTCTGGCATTTAAAATCAATCTAATATTTTATCGTAACCCATTCTCAATAGCAGCTTATAGCTAGCTACTTATATTATTTTTTCTCAGTAACTCAAATTATAATAATTATAATTAAAAAAAAAACAATTTCATCAAATAAAAACCGAAAATATTTTTTAAATAGCCAATGTGTCAAGGAAAGCCGATAAATGCAGATACAAGAACTAGCGACGTCAAATCTTCCGTCATGTATGTATCACGAAATTATGCTCCAATAAAATTATATCGACTCCAATTCTTTACTTTGTGTACTTTCGAATGTATTTCGAAGAAGACGGAATGTGCTACCACGTATAAGTATATATATTATTGAGGTTCGTTGCTTCGGAAAAATATAACATCTTTTGTACATGTATAGAACTCCTTGTGCGTGTAGTCAGCACGATCTTTCTATGAATCGCGATAATGACGCTAATATTTCAAGATGTCTCGTACCGCTGTGAGGATGTTACGAGAGCTGATACCGAAATTGTCAAGCAGCACCGTGGGAGGACCAGAACGTGGCACTGTCGGCACAGCCAATATCTTCACTATTACGTTTCTCTCCAAGGCAACCGCGGACGCGACAGCCTCGCCCAGACCTCCTTGCGGATAATGATCCTCGACAGTGATGATTCTGCCACCGACCTCCTTGGCATTTTTCACGATCGCTTCCGCGTCGATAGGCTTAATCGTGAACGGATCCATCACGCGAATGCTGATACCGGCTTTGGCCAACTCATCCGCCGCCTTGATCGCCTCGTGCAAGGTCACGCCGGCGCCAATCACGAGCACTTGATCTTTCGCGGATGACTTGATAATCTTGGCCTTACCAATAGCCAACAGCTCATCGTTGTTATATAAGATCGCCGTATTCGGGCGAGAAGTGCGAATGAAGCAGATGCCCTTGGTGTTAGCCGCCAATTCCACGGCGCGTTCTGCTGACACGGCGTCGCTCGGGTAAAAAACGGTGGAACCCGGAATCGAGCGGAACATTGCGATATCCTCCAGGCCCATCTGCGAGGGACCGTCCTCACCGATAGACACGCCACAGTGTGAGCCAACGAAATTCACGTTCGTCTGCGATATCGCGCCCATGCGAATCTATAAGACAAATCATTTATTTACATTTCCGCTGAGTTATTATGCGTTACCATTCGGCAGGATTAAACTATTATCTTATTAATACATTATCTTCTGGTTAGTGTCTCACCTGATCGAAAGCGCGCGTAAAGAACGTCGCGAAAGCCGATACAAACGCGACGGTGCGATCCCTGCAAGCAGCACCGATCGCAACGCCCACGATATTCTGCTCGGCGATGAATCCTTCGATAAATCTGGCCGGGTCAACTGTTTTTATCTTTTCGGCGTAAGTAGAATTCTTTGTATCACCGTCCAGAGCTATAACACGAGGATTATATTTCGCCAACTGAAAGAAAACATTATTAGGTTATGCTGCGAATGTCGGTTTGAAACGTTTTGATAATGTTTTGTGCATGGACATGAATATTGGTAATACTAAAAATGTTAAAACCATATACCTTAGCAAGTGCGGTACCATAAGCCAACCTGGTAGCTACTTGGTCGCCGATTTTGTAACTTGGAGGTGCAGCTAACGTAATGTTACTAATGTCTACAGCTGGGGCATCATCTACAAGAGGCTTCTGTGGACGCAATCCAGCAGGACCTATATTTTTCAAAAGTCCATTCAAGTGCTACACAAATAGAAGATGAGACAAAATTAACAATAATTTTATATCTGCGTGTGTATATATGTATACTTTAATGTAATTAATATCTCAATACAAAATACCTGAATAACTTCATTTGCTTTACCGCCCAGAGGCTTGCCGTGCCAGTTGTCCAAGTTTTCAATTTCAGGAAAGTTTTTACCTTTAAAAGTCTTAGCTAAAATGGCAGTGGGACGTCCTTTTATGTTTTGCGCTTCATGGAAGGCCTAGGAAGATGAAAATGTTTTAATGTTAATATTATTTGGTGCAAATAATAAACTTACCTTTGCCAGTTCCTCCACATCATGGCCATCCACAACCAAAGCATTGAAACCGAAGGCTTCTAATCTTTTGCGATAGACTTCCATGTTATGTTGCAGTGAAGTTGCCTCGCTCTGTCCGAGACGGTTGATGTCAAAAATAGCGCAAAGATTGTCCAGTTTGTAATAGGACGAAAAATGGAGAGCTTCCCAAATAGAACCTTCCGCCGCTTCTCCATCACCGATCAAACAATACACACTGAAAGATAAATAGCAATGGTAAATAGCAAACTAATTATAATGTAGAAGAGAGAAAGACCCATTTAGAAAATTTCTAGCGTCTAAGAAACGTAAGTAATATTGAATGAAAAAGAAGACGAGAAAATCAATATATAAATAGCAATTACAAATTGTTATTGATATAGTGTATTATTAGTGTAATGTAGAATTAAGTAGCGCACCGGTAACTAGCTTTGTCGTAATTCTTGCCTACATAGGCCATGCCTGCAGCAACCGAGAGGCCTTGTCCTAATGAGCCAGTTCCTACATCAACAAAGTTGAGTCTTGGAGTAGGATGTCCTTCTAGATCACTATCAAATTTTCTCAAATTCAATAGTTCGCTCGAAGGGAATAAGCCTGCTTCAGCCCATGCTGCAATATAAATGTGTGACATTGAAAATTATATTACTTTATATATATATTGAATTTACTATAATACATGTATATATAATTTTGATTTTTACAATCTAAGTTCAAAATTTGAATTATTTTTAATGTACGAAGCACCTTCATCGTTGTCTATGAAAGATGTTTTATCGCGATGATCTTTTCTTGGGGATTACTGAAAGTAATGTAACAATTCCGGAAAGGTATCTCTTTCGGAAGGATATCTAGGTTGTGTATATATGTTATCTGTGCGCCCGTCAACAAACTCGACATTGGGACACATACTTTTAGATTTTTATCCACTACACACGTCTTTTTATAAAAGTATATAATATAAAAATATATAAACATAATAATTAATTGCTAGTAAATTTACCTGCATAAAGAATTGGAGCCGCGTGACCCTTACTGAGGACGAATCTATCATTGTTCGGATCACGTGGCTCCGAAACCTTGTAACGCATAGTATGAAAAAAGAGGACGGACATAATCTCTGCCATCGACGAACATGACGTCGGATGTCTAAAACACAGTGAAGCAAAAAACAAATTACAAATACAGTATTGAATAAAACATATAGAATAAGCAATTCAAAATTCCAATATTGAATAACTAACAAGAACGTTTAAATATTTGAGATTATCAATTATAACTACATTTGCGTAATTGAATCACATCCGTCTTTTTAAAATCATACGTTATCATTGTGAGGTCAAACATATCACATATTAGGTTCATATACGTGACTTTCTTAACTCATATTACAGATATAATTTACAAAGCTTTATAAATATCTTTGAACGCATTTCTTATAAATTTTCTAATATTTAAAAAAATTCCGTATCATTTATGATAAATGACACATAAAATGCTAATTTTTTTCTGTGTCAATGAAATTAGTTTTTTATAAACAATTCTAATACTATAATTCTTAACAGATAACAATTCTAATATTACAACTAACGGAATTAATTTCCTATGAACACAGATAATGTATTTCTAAGATTACAACTAATTTTCTAATATTTCAGCTGAACCATGTGCTTAGTAAAGGATTAATGTTTCATGGATCCGATTGGTATATATTTTTAGATCTTGTTTAAATGAACCCCGTTTAGATGTACGGGAAGAGAGAATGATCCTTCAATTATAATTGTAAGATAACTTCCAGTATTCTCATCGTACCCGCTTTTCGCTGCTTCGGTTGCTCGTACGCACTCGATGCGTAGTCTATTGGCGAGATTTTGGAGCTTTTCCATGTTCGTGTCTCGTACCATCGTGAACTAAATCACCAAACCAACCATCGTCGGCAATGAACGTTCGATCGCGACTACTGGCGAGAAGAATTTCGGCAATGAGCTAACTACGCGCGCGAATCTCCCCTACTTCTTCGGTCGCGACGATAACGATGACGACATCGCTTATATATGAGGTATCTCGAGAAACGCAATGTACATTTTTTTTTTCTACTATATACTATTTATTCTTTCTTTCAATATCTTCTTTCGTATACACTATTTATTCTTTCTTTCAAATAACATTTTCAAGGAAAGAATCATATTTCTCAACCGACTCGTTAAGATTATACTGATTTCAATTCCGAATATAGAATGACTAGCATCCAAGGTTAAATGTTCTACTTAAGTAACGTATTTAATGCTCAGTGATTTGCGTGGAACATGCATCGACTCGTAACGGTTAATTATGAATAGCTCCGTTACGTTACACACGACTGGCATGATTTTCTTATCGTGGAGATGCGATAATTAGATGGTAAATATAAGCCAGACTATATATATATTCCTCTTTAGATACCGAATGATTGCACCTTCTTTAATTCTTGAACAGTTTATCAAACACACTTTTCTGCACTTTCCGTACTTAAAATGAAACGAAAAGAAACTGATGTGATGACAGAGAGGCTGAGAAGAAGAAACCTCGTTATGATCTCATAGCACTCGTCATTTACTTGTATAATCGAACACAAATGACGGTGCACTAAATCAGGTTTTCTCAGCTGCACTTTTAGTACCTCGCGCCAATTTTCCCTCTCCATTTTATTACCTCCTTAAAAGCCCGAATATGTATGCATATGTATTTCAGTTTAGTGTATAAATTATACACAGTATAGCTGAAGCTGAAGAGATATAACGTCTCGAAATGCAACGGTCGTCTCGATCGATGTCCCGCGCGAATTTCCGAACGGGCTATTACGAGGACCGCGACTCATTATCGGCGCCTCGTTATGCATGTAACGCTCGCTTATCGTCGCTCATTCGCAGGAATAATTCCGTTTGCGTTTGCAGTTTACGCGCACGTTATCGCCGGGCCGTTGCAAAAGAACGTCGCGAAAAACTTACCCAGATTTGCTGGCCTGCGTAGCCTCGATCGAGTGAATTCTCAACTTAATCGCGATGTCCCGCAATTCCTGGATAGTTTTCGCTTCCGGCTTGTGATAGTTCGCCATTTTTTTCTCGTCCGCTTACGTGCGTGAATACGTAGGTTCGTTCGGTCGGCTGCGCGCCTCGGCTTTTTCGACGGTACTCGCAAAAATGCAACGCCGTGTTACAACGTGCAACAAGTAGATTCGAGTGAACGAGAGAGAGACGAACTTAACCGAGCATGCCCGATCGTCACTGATTACGACTGTAGCGACTCCATGTCTATAGATATATTTATTATACGACCGGATTCTCATCAGCGACACGATATCGCATACATTAAGGCTGATCTCCGATATTCACTGGCAGTACTAAAAATTTATATAGATCGGTATTCATCGTCGGATCTTATATTTAAGGCCGTCTTAAGTTCATCTACAGATGCTTTGTAGCCAATGAAATGAGCTATGTAGCATCTGAAAATAAACTTGAAGTGGTTTATATACAAGATCCGTCTATGAATACTGGACATGGATTTTCAATACTGTCAGTGAATATTGGAACGCTGTCCACAAATAGCGAATCCGCCGAGTTGTCAGTGGTCTGTTCTTCATGGTTATATTTTCTAAGCGGCGTTCTTGTGTTATTTTTCCCTACGGAAACGTGGATAGTGAAAAGCTCTAGTTTTCCACCGTTCAAAAAGAAAAGAAAAAAAGAGAGAGAGAAAGAGTAAGATCGCGGTAAGGTTAGTCTGCCAACGAGGGATTATGTTGGACGTGTTTTTAAGAACAATATTGTAATTACTAAAGTTACAGGTAAGTTTATATATATTGTGCTGAGATGACTAGAATCCATTTGCAAACGCATTTAAAATATTCATCCGTACATATCTGATCTCAAATGAGTTACTTGTATTTCGAATATACTTAATATATTATCATTATTATCAATTGTTATATCAGTTGCAATTGTTGTATTTTCTAATGACAAATTTAACGTGTGTTATATTTATTCGTGAAAAGTCGTCATTAAGTGTATTTAAATTTATTTCGTAGAACAAGACTGAACTATGAGTACCTCACGGTGTATAGAATCGCCTAAATCACATCTACATATGACACCTTTTAAAAAAAGAATAAGGCAAATTGAGAATAAGCATACAGATAAAATTGGCAATAGTAACATGACAGAAAATATAATGACTGATGAAGGTGTAACAAATTATATGCAGGAAATACATATTAAATTTAGTCCCACCAAAGAAAACAAAATTGATGAGAAAACTTTAAAAGTTGAGACAGTATCAAATACACCAACAAAGAAAAATATATGTGGAGGTAAAGAAATAAAAGAGAATGATAATGTACAGAATAATTTAAGATCACAAAATGTTTCACCTATGACTGTGAAAAATATACATAGTATTTCTAAGGCAAATGATTCTTTGCATAATTGTGACAGTTCAAACTGTGATAACAAGATTGATGACAACTCTGCAGATGATAAAAATATATTTTCACTCTGTCTAAAAGAGATGCAAGATTTATTAAAAACTCCACCATGTAAGAAAACAGAACCATTATTACAATCTGACAATATAGTTTCATCAGATAGGAATTTAGAAAAGAGAAAAAATGATGACGATTATAAACAATTTTGCGATACACTTAAATCAGAATTATATAATTCAGAAAATTGTAATGACTTTGGTGCTGTGGATCTATTATATAATGATTTACTAAATACTAGAGTAAATATTGAGGACAGCAAAGTATCATCAGACATATTATTATCCTCAATAGCAGATATGAATACATTGCAATACATTGATGAAGGTTTAGCAGATTTTAATAAAGATCCGCTGACAGATCCTCTTTTCATTAATGATCATGAAGAGAAAGATGTTGATAGTATATTCGATACGGATTTAGATTGCAAACCTGTAGCATTAAGAAGGTCAAGTCGTATACATAAAAGTCCGATTGGGGATTATAATGTTGATGACATTAAAAAACACAAGCTTAACATTGAAGAGAAACATATATTAAAAGAATTGGAAAATATTGAAGAGGAAGAACTACCATTAAATACTATACAGGTTGGCCAATATTCTAGGTATTTTATATTTATTTTTATGTTCGTACACATATGTTAGTTAACTATTTTATATACACAGCAATTGGCGTCATTAAATATAGAACTTGTACACAAAGTACCTCCACAACATAAAATAGAGACCAGAGCTGGAACTCATACTACAACAAATGAGAAGATATTATTTCAAAAGTATGGACCACTTCGTAAAGGTCCGTTTACATACACAGAAGATAAAACTATTGCACAAAATTGGGATATGTTTTGCAAGGTATACTTTTGATATATTATTGATACAGATTGTCTCATTTAATGGAAATTGTGACTAAAACATTTCTATTCTCGATAATAAAGAAAATGTGTTACAGAAAAATTCGTGTAGTTTGAGAGAACAAGTACCATTAACCGATGATTTAAAGAAATCAATGATTGTGAAATCTGTATATAATTGTATAATCTTGAATTAGATATTTCAATAATCATAATATTTGTCTCTCAAATCGTACCCTTTTTTTTTTAGACTTTTTCTATATTATCACAAATAGCGGAAATATTTGGAATGATCATATTAAGATTTTACAATCATATAAATAACAAGAATGATGTATAACATTCTATATGTCATGTCATATATATAGCTTCATAATTGGGACTCAAAAAACTTGGAACCGTTTCTTAATTGGAGATATGATGGAAAATACTACATACATAACTTAAAAGAAAGACAGAAATTCGTCCAATTTTTAGCGAATGGATTACCTTGGCGGACCCTCTTTAGCGTTTATTCCAGATTTAGAATCTTATACCGTAACAAAATCACTAATACTCGGTATGACAAGAAATTTTACTTAATATATTTTTACTTAAAAGAATTAGATAGAATTTTACTTAAAATTTTATTTCAAGTAACCATATATATTTTAGATATACTTCAAAAGAAGATCAAAAAATTTTGACGTATATACAGAGTAAACATCTTGACCAGCGTGATACTAAATACATGGAATTAGCAAAATTGTTGGGACGAACAAGCCGATCGATATCTAAACGGTATAAGTATCTTAAAAGAGTTCTAAATGAACCAGTGAAAAAATGTAAGTAACTTTCTCTCTCAAGATATATTTATATATTTTTAAGCATGTTTGCGGACAAATACATATGTATTTAAAATTCAATTTGATTTCATTACACGATATTAGTAAAAGTAAAATGGACGGTGCCACTCATAAGAAAATTCATAAAGACGTTACTAAATGTAACATTAAGTGAAAATATAGAAGAGCTTAAACACGTTACACTCCCTATGCCAGTGTGGCAAAAAATGGAAGAAAAACTGCATATAGATGAGAATGTTTTAAAAACATTTTGGCAACATCAATTGCATCTGCAATTATTCAGTACAAATTCCATCTATTTAAACGATATCAAAATACAATTAATTGAATAGTAAGTATCACATATTATATGCTATATACGTCTGCTGTATTTGTTGCTAAGAAACATGTAAATTGACTTTGATATATCTTGATAACCATTATTGTGAGTACCACTATACATATACACAGCGCACAATTCGTTGTTGTAGTATATATAAAAAAGGAATATCGAGTACTCGCGAAATTATATGGCCCAATGTAGCTCAATATTTTGATGGAGCGACTGCAGTATTTCTCTGCAAGATTTTCTTTTATCTTGTCCAGGAATGCGATATGAACGACACGGAAAATTTCGCTGGTATTATGAAACATCGTTTAAACTATATTCGTGAAATCACACGATATACATACAATATGTCAAGGGAATATTTCTGTTGCAGATATCGTGGAATATTTGTATCATAAGAAGATCCCTGAAATTAAAGATGCCCCGACAGATAAGTTTCTACCTAGAATTGTATATAAAAATGGAAAAATTGATGTGTTAAATTCGGAGGATGATGCAACCGATACAAATACTGCTGATTGTGAAGCTGATTGTGACACTGATGATGTTTAAGTAGTGTAATGAACTGTATGCATTTAACATTAAAACCGATCATTAAGCTCTTGCATTGTTCATATTGCTCTAGTTGACATATATTTTCACATCTGATCAAGATCTAAAAGTACAAACCAAGCAGATGCAAAAGCTCACTGAATGCTTAGCGAGTGGTTGTATTATTAGTGATGTAATCATTGATAATTTTATAAACATTTCTTTACAGCTAACATCTCTCTTATAATATTATTAATTTAGTATATTATATAAACAATGTGTATATTTTAAATATATACATAATTATATATAATCATATTAATAATAAGAGCGCGAGCGTGGCATGGTAGACAGCGCACCAGTCTACTGTGCTATAGAGGCCCCGGGTTCGATCCCCGGCAGAACCAGAAAAATTTTCATACGCTCGTAGCTCCTTTTCGGTGGTCCGGTAAACCACCAAGAGTAATCACATGCCAAGAAAACTTCTCTCCAACTGCCGTTCGGAACCGGCGTTAAACTGTAGGTCCCATATGCATGTGTACAATCTGGGTGCGCACCACATGCATATGTAAAGAGAGAGAAGTAGGCCTGGGCCCGACCTTGGGCTGTTGCACCATAGTAGTAGTGGCATATTATTAATAATTATATTGACTTTAGTGTGATGTATACGTTAAATTGTAGTATACAGCGGAAAAAATGCAAACATATATGTGATTATTACGTAAAGCAGTTTATTAAAGAAAAAAATCGATATACATAGTATTTCGCAATAATGCGGATAATAGATATCAAACTTCGTTTTGATATCTATTTTTAAATAATCATAATTTTTCAATATATATTTAAACTTTGTTTTTCTTCGATTCTTTCTCGAGCGCTTTCTCTTTTGCCTTTTGATACAAAGGCACAAGTTTGCCTTCCTTAGCAAGAATCTTCAAAAGTTCCATGATAAGTGGTAGATAATTGTGTTTTCTTCTAATATTCTCTATTTGATATCTTTTCGATTTTCTTATTTCTTCTTCAATAAGTGCTTGCAAGCGTTCCAATTCTGCAGGATCACAAATATTGGCCTTTTGCCTCTCATACAAGGTTTTTCTGTCTGTTACAATGGCCATTAGATTGAAGTGAATTTCTCCTTCATTATACCTGTTCACAAATATTTTTACTTTTATGTGACACTACAGATAAACAACGTATGTATATATTTTTAATGTATATACACGATATATATTGGACGAAGTAAAACATAATCATAACTCACTTGTTTATTCGCTTTTGAATTATAGGTTTTGCAGCTTGTACCCATTGTTCTCCTACTGGACAAGGACCTAAATCTATCGGTCCATCCTTTAATCCATCTAATTCGTACAAACGACCATCTATTGGAACATAACTCACAAAATGAAACACATTGTCATCTTTAGATGCCTGTCTTGAGTCGTATTCAAATAAAGTTTGCCTAAAATTTTACAAGTATACACACACTGAATAATGTCGAATAGTTAGTTGAAAGAAAAATGCAATGATAAATACCTTGAAAAGGAATTATGTACTTCCCTTATAACATCGGAGTTACTAAGAGCAAGTCCACGCATATTTGCGTCAAAGCTTTGACAAAAATTTTTAAAATCTTCTAAATTTGGCCCTAAAGATATGTCTGCATGTTTACAATTAAGTAAAACGCTCAATATTGCTTGTGTTGCACAGGCGTTATTTATTACCTAAATAAATATAATTTCTTTAAATAAAGCATGAATGAAAAAGAGAGAGAGAGAGAGATATGCAATATTTTGTAATCACAGATAAATTCTCACAAATATATATAAAATAATAATGGCAATATATTTTTACTTTATATCAGATATTTATAAAAATGTATATTTTTTCACAAGTTTTTGCTTTGTTTTCATATATTTAGTTCAAAAATTAAGTTTTTATTGCACATGTATTTCACATACCTGTTTTGCAAAGAATATCTTGTCCAATCTATTATCTTGCACAATATTTCCCGATAGTTCATCATCTTGTACCCATTTGAATAGAAATATTAAACCATGAATAGGTCTGTGGAAAATATTATTTGTAACAGATATAAAGAAGAAAATCTAAAATTTATTTACATGATCACATTCCGAAAAGAAGAAGCATAACTAGTAAAAAATGTTTAATTGTTAACAAAAATATGTGTGTGCGTCCCTTTAAATAACATAATAGAAATTACATTATGTACAAAATAAACTTACTTTAAATTATCGAATTGCTCATCATCCAAACTCCATAATTCTTCCACTTGTGCCCCTTTGACACCTGACACGAGTAAAGTAATATATGTATATATATTAATATATTGATACTTTGAGTGTAGATTATGTAGAACATAGCTTGTTGACAGTGGATATATAATGATGCTGTTATAAAACAATTTGTAAATTCCATTACACTTAAGTCGATTTTGTTACAATTTAACGAAAAATAATTACCAAATTCTTTAATCAGTTCTGTAAAAACGCCAGGATCACTTTCAATGAGACACCAATTTCCTGCTGAGTCCGCCATATTTTATAAACTGTCTTGACATGTGAAATAAGCAGAGAATATACGAAGACTTGGTGTCGGACTAGCAGGTACAAAAGAAGTGCAAACCTAAAGTGAAGTTTGTGAAATGAAATTTTGTAAAATAGGCTTTATTTGCATTTAGGCACGTGATTGTCGAACAAGTGGATTGGTGGTCGAATATCTGGAGTCTCCAGAAGCGCGGCGTTCGGTGGAAGTTCTTCCAAGAATCACGAGGTTCCGTAAATATTTTATATCCAGTGGCCGAGATATCTGTGAGGTAAATCTCAAATTGCAAATCGCAAATATGCAACTACTTATCCCAGAGATTGGAATGACGCGGTGATATTGCGTCCTACACGTCAACTTATGTGACTTTTTTTATCGAGATATTCGTTGTGAGATATGTAAGAATCGTGAGTAGGGATTCGCGGGTCGACCAGCGATCAACAAATAATAATGTCGACAATGGAGGGCTCGCTCAGCAAGTGGACAAATATGGTTAATGGATGGCAATACCGATGGTTTGTTTTGGACGACAACGCTGGCCTTCTGTCTTATTATACGGTAAAGATATTCTCGAGAATGCAATTACGTTGGATAGGTTACGTTTCTTTCGCTCTCACAGTATCTGGTGCAAATACAGTGCAGTGTATTGTGACTTTATATACACTTCCTTCTCACTTTCCTAACTATAATTCATACGTTTGTCTATTTGATAAGAACAGCAGTCTTTATATGCCCTCTAATCACTTTTAGAGCAAAGAAAAAATGATGCGTGGAGCACGTCGTGGTTGTGTACGACTAAGAGGTGCTATTATTGGTATAGATGATGAAGATGATAGTACATTCACTATCACAACATCATCGTGCAAGGATGATCCGAAAACCTTTCACTTTCAAACACGCAATGGAGAGGAAAGAGAACGCTGGATTCGTGCACTAGAAGACACAATTCTTCGTCATTCCAATGCAGTATGATCAAATATATATTTGTTCTCGTATCCTTTTTAGGACAATAACATACAGATGAGTAACAAGTGAAACAATTTTGAAATATATTGCAACAAAGAATTAATAATTACAGAGGTGGGATCCCAAGAAATCACTACCCAAGCAAGATTTTGATCGAAAAGTAGCTGAGGCTGACGCGTATCTCCAATTATTGATTGAACAAATTAAATTAATTGAAAATAAGAAAAGTGCGGCTGAGGAAGACGGGGAAAAGCAGAAAAAATATTCAGCTATCTTGTTACAAGCCAATGCTATGCTAAATTCAGTTAAGCACACCATTGTTCAGTTACAAATTGCGAAGGTAACTTATTGCATGTTATTATTCATGTTATTTCACTACGCGCTTTTATTATTTAACGCGCTAATTCCTGTTGTTTCATTATAATTAGAACACAGCAATACCAGTTAATGGAGTATACCGAGGACCATCTAACTCTATACATGTCACGCCACCACTCTCTCATGGTAAAACATTCTTTCATATTCATTCTTCTTCATATCGATGCATTTCATGAAATTCACTTGTTTGTATGAATCGAATACCTAAAGTGTAATTTTAGTTGCAGCCAGGGCGCCAGAGGCAACAGTGCAAACTGGTATCGAATTAGGTTCCGAATGCGTGGAACCCAGAGTGCCTACACTATCAAATGGTTAATATCATGTATAACACGTTTACTCCTGGCATATATTACAAGTTGCTTGAATTCTGTAGTTCCCTCCTCTTCTTTCCCTTTTTTTTCCGTTTTCATTTCCCTTCCTTTTCTGTATTTAACATAGCATCACTTTGCATCCTTAGTTGTAGATAGAGATCTACCGGTACCACAATTCTCGTATTCTTCATCCGACGAAGACGACGATTACTTCGATGCTGCGGACGAGATACCAACTCCTATAACCCAGAATCACATTACACTGCAAGTATAATATCTCTGCATGAGACTAGTCAATATTATTCTCACTCATGCCATACGGTGCCGACTATTTTGCAGTGCATTGCCCGTGATCGTTTTTCTTTTCCTTTGTTCTAGAAAAAAAAGCGATATTTATGTATTCGATAAAAGTGAATAACGCATAAACGATTTCCAGACGTTCAGATAACGAGCGATTACATTCATCCATGGAAAGTGCCACAAGTGATAAACGCAAGGAGCCGCCTTTACCGCCTATCAAAGGTGATGGATCTGTAGATTATGATGGTGAGTCAGTGTATTATGCTATTTAAATATAATATCACTTTGTGCGTTATCTGCAAAATTTTTTCTCCGTTCGCCAGCGGACGTTTAAAATCATGTAAAGTAAACTTCACCGATACGCGTCACCGAGTTTGTCCGACGTAGTCTCTGTTAATTGTGATATTTATATTGGAGAAACAGATAAATTACGGAAAGAACGATATCTCGGTATACGTATATTATTATACTCGAGAACACACACGAGAACAAAAGCAAATTATAATTGTCACGGTAAAAGCGAACCGGTCACAATTACATTTTATTTATTATTGTCGCCTTCCGTGTATGCGAGTCGTTCGGTTTTTATCGGTTTGCATGAATTCTCTCGACACAAATTTTACAATTTTAGGGAATATTTTGCGGTGACTCGATCGATCACATAAGATGATTTTAATACTTTAGTGCTCTAAGGAAAATCCCTCGCGCGTCTATGATGCATTACACATACAGTATTTTAACAATGTAAAAGATAAGGAGCAAGATAAGGGCCTTGCAATATATACGTCACAATAGTTCCATTGTCGATAATGCAGGTCATGTTTAGCATGCTTAATCGTCTGCTTTATCCACCGTGACCACTATTGATCTTCGGCTGCTTCGAATACTATCTTTGACGTGTGAATTAGCGTTTCACGAATGAACACATTCGCGAGCGTTTCATTATGTTTCCCGCAAAATAAAGTGGCGATCCCGAGTGTATGAGAATGTTTAATCGATATGACAATGAGTAAGAGAAAAGAATCACGACAGAACTTGACGTTCTGTCGACGTTTGCTTTCACGACTAAGCGCTCGGCAAAATATCTCGCGTTAATAAGAAACGATTCGGTCCCGAGGGAATAAGGAGTTTAGGAATGGATACTAGTTGGTCTATTCTGGCAAGACAACATGTTGGACATAACTTCAAGTCGTAAGTCATATATATCGACGTACTTGTAGAAAATTCAGGTTAAGTCGGGAGAATTTTGGAACTTCTTTCTGTGTACCTCGTAATTTCTAAGATTTATTTAGCCCTTTTAAGATCTACAAATCAAAATTAGCGGTCCTTAAATCTCAATTTCCGTTTGAATATTCGTTGTACTTAAAAATGTGAGTGTATACGTGTTTGTTGCAGCTCTTTACGAAGAAGAAAGCGAAACAGAAAGTAAGTATACAAGCAGATATATATATATATATAACTACGAAGCAGTGAAGGGCAGTTTCTTGCAATAGCATCTTCTCTCTTTGTTTCCGTCGTTTACAGTGGATTCCATGGAGAGCCATGGGTCAGTTGTAACACATCTTCTGTCTCAAGTGAAGATCGGCATGGACTTGACAAAAGTTGCCTTACCGACATTTATTCTAGAGCGTAGGTCACTCCTTGAGATGTATGCGGATTATTTTGCTCATCCCGATCAATTTGTAAGGTACTACAGTGACTATCAGATTTAATAACAACACTTAGAACATCGTTGCATTTGTTTCAATATATCTGTATAATATATTTTCTGGGAACGATATATTTTTTTTCCATAATTCAGCATTGCAGATATGCCTACACCACGAGAGAGGATGGTGCAAGTAATTCGTTGGTACCTGTGTAGCTTTCACGCAGGACGTAAATCTGGTGTGGCCAAGAAACCATATAATCCCATATTAGGTGAAATTTTTCGGTGTCACTGGAACATACCAAACACCAATTCCTCCGACAATATCACAGATTTAGGTAGCAAGCTCGTGGCAGATGGCCCTGTACCATGGTGCAAAGAGAATCAACTTGCTTTTCTCGCTGAACAAGTCTCTCATCATCCTCCAGGTACTAAAGCGATCATTAATTCCAACTTCTCTTCACCTTAGATATTATGCTACATGACTTACCTATTTGTTGTACTTTCTGGTCGCAGTTAGTGCATTTTATGCTGAACACGTTGGGAAAAAGATTAGTTTTGGAGCTCATGTTTGGACAAAAAGCAAATTTTTGGGCTTAAGTATAGGGGTACACAATGTGGGAAAGGGTTGGGTAAATGTGCTACAACACGGAGAAGAGTACGTTCTAACTTTCCCTAATGGTTATGGCAGATCTATCCTCACTGTACCGTGGGTAGAGCTAGGAGGAACTGTAACTATAAATTGCCTACAAACTGGCTACCATGCGACAGTAGAATTTCTAACGAAACCTTTTTATGGCGGTAAACGGAATCGAATTACTTGTCAAGCGTTTCAAGCAGGGGATAAGAAGCCGTTTCTGATCATAAATGGAGAATGGAGTGGTATGATGGAAGCAAAGTGGTCGGATGGTGTAAGTTGGAACAAGTTTAGTCTCGGTATAATACAAGGAGAGTCGAGCACATTCTCTTTATATAATATTAAAAGATGTATTATCATATTAGTAAATCGTACAATTATTCACGGTAACAATCGATTGTTAATAATATCATGTAACTTACCGTTTTTTTTTTTTTTTTTTTTAACAGCAGAGAAGTGAGATTTTCGCAGACGTAAAAGAGCTTGATACAGAGAGAAAATTAGTTAAAACAGTATGTGAGCAAGAAGAGTGCGAGTCGCGAAGAGTCTGGCGTGACGTCACAGTTGGCCTACGTATTAACGATATGGATAAAGCCACAGCTGCCAAATGTGCAATTGAGCAGAAACAAAGAGATGAAGCGCGCGTCCGAAAGGAGAATAACATACCGTGGCAAACGAAAGTGAGCGGACGATTCTTGCTTTTGATCCTTCTCTGTGTTCTGATCGCGTAAATTATGCTAATCAATTCTTTTTCTGTGTTTAAATAGCTCTTCAAGGAAACCAAAGACGGTGGTTGGGTGTACATAAAACCTCTTGTAGACAGAATACGCAGTTCTAGTGATCAAACAAATATTACGTAACTGTATTCAGTATAATATTATGTGATAATTTTAGATATACAGCACAATACTAGAAAAGACCAGTGGCCTAATGCCCATAAGAACTGTACTACCAGGCTTAATTCGAAATATGCACTTTCACATCTGGAGAATTTCTGCAAGTATTTTTATGTCCGTAATAGTCGATCAATTAATTCAGCCGAGAATAAAGAGGAAACATTGTTATTCACACTTTTATTATTCTTAATGCATTTTAAATTCAATCTATCAGCCACAATAAACCTGTTTTTCGTCACTACTGAGATTAAATGTTAATTTTTATAATATATAAATATCTTTCCATTTTTCTTTGAAATAATTTTACAAAGACATTGTACACTGCTATTATATCAATACTTCAAGTACATATGTATAGTGAAATTACATCTTATTGTGTAATTGTGACGTTTTATTAACGTTGTAATTTGTTATAAAAAAAAAAAAAAGAAATTATATGTACAATTTATGCAGATCTGTATACATTGCGTTGTATAGATCGTATGCCATATCGTACTCAAACGTTGTTTTATGATAGGATAGACATAGATAATATGCGCGATATTCCGATTATAGAATTATTTTTACGCAACTTCGAATTTCTTGCTAATAACTACACATTTCCCGTTATGTGATACATTCACATTCCGTAAATATGAGTTTCTGAAATAAATGAATTACTTGCGCACAGAAAAATATATCAGTAACAGCTATTTGATGTTTAATTGCTATCGCAATAGTATAAATTTCTCAGTTTCTCTACATTCCAATTTCTTACGAATAAATTGTTGACATATATGATGGATCAAATTGTAAAATACGTCCTAATAGTATTAATTACAATATATATACACGATTTATATTGACATAAGTATTAAAAATTCTTAATTAAATAAGATTTGTTAAAGTAGTAATATTCTCATTATATTCCTAGAGAAACATACAAAAGAAACTAAATATTTTTCTTAGGTTTCTGTAGTACAAGACCTATGGAAGTTACTTAATCTATTTCTAATTAATTATTCTGTACACTGGACTTGTTACTAAAAGATATACATACAGTAGATACAATTCTTTATTGTGTATAAAAATAAGTGTACAAAATATATGCAAAACATATAAAAAAAAATGAACATTGTTCGGTGATAATACTATAATATCTTAGTTCACGTTCTCTCACAGTACTATGTAACCGAAAAAGTAGTCTGCAATATTTCTGTAATTGTGAGGCAGGCGTTTTGTCGATGACAACAAGTGATTTAATCCAGCCTCAATCATAGGCAAACCTACTTTGTGATATTCAACGTTCCAATGGTTATTAGTGTTAGCAATTTTATTTGTGTCATACTTATATAAAACTTTGGCAACACGTTTCTGTTGTAAGGAGATAGATATATCCGTGTTACAGATTATTTGGTTCTGATTATAGGTTTCCTCTGTAATTAAATTCAATTCGTGATCCATTGGTTTTATCAGAAGATAATGAGTTTGTTTGCCAAGAGATGTTTGCAAGATAATCTCTTCTCCTAATACACCGGTCAGTGAGTTCTTTATAAATATTAAAAAGTCATTTAATGGATCAGTGGCATTTACAGTATTTAATGTGTCATTCTGAGGTTTATAATCTATGGAACAATTCCATATTTGGAATAAATCACATGAATAAAGTGTTCCTATATGTAAAAAGCATTTATCACAGGTTAATGTCTTATCATCTATGTGTAGACTGTTTATAAAAATATTTTTATGCAACAGAGCAAAGTAAGACCCGTACAAATAATCAGATTCCTCTGTTTCTATGTTCTTTACAACGTCATCAGAACTATGCTTACAACAAAACCATTCATCTGGACTGCATTGTATATCAGGCAAAGGTAGAACTCGCTTAAAAGCGATTGATCTTGAGATGACGTTTTTACAGCAAGCGCATGATACGATACATTCTGACGCCTTAAATAGCAATTTAATATTTCCTAAGATCGGTTGCGAAGAGGAAGTCAACTGTGTCGATTTGTTTGAATCAGTTACCACTTCTGTACTAAAAGATCCATATACCGATTTCAACGGCGCCGTTTGTAAACGAAAGCAAATCCAATTATTCCGTACATTTAACATAGACAAAGAAGTAGGTACGATTTTTATAAATGGCAACAAGAAATTCATGCTATAATCTTTGAATATTAATACTATGTTACTTTCTGAAAGTTTAACTTGAATATCTTTTAAATCTTGATTTTTTTTCATAGCGATAAATGCATTGCACGATTGCAGCCGTGGTCTTAGCTCTAATGTTACAAGTTCCATTGTTTTGTGTTATTCAGCAATATAACCTTACGATATCGTGGTAACGCATCTTTTTAATAATGATTCTGCAAGCACAATAAAAAATAAGGCCCATGTAAGAAATTATTTCAATATAGCTTATATTTCTAAAAAAAAATACATATATATATATATTGCGAGATAATTTTATATTTACCGAACATATGAACCTACGTTCATACCGTGCACAGTGAACCACACAAAGGTTAGGTTAGGTTAGGTATTTTTCGCAAATTGTACGCTTTCGACAGACCGACGCAATCTAAGAGAATAATTCGGTAAGAGCCATATGGTATGTAAAATTATTTTACATTTGTTATGTATACATACTTGGCTTAAAAAAATAGAGGTTCGTTTGATCCGTCATTGAGTTGTATTATGTGAAAATAAAGATTCCTCCAACTTGCCGTTCAATCGCACTATTTTGTAGATAAAAAGGTCTTTTGACCCGTCGTTGACTCGGAATACTTGAAAATAAAAGATGCCTGACTCACATTTAAGCTGTATTACTTGAAAATAAAGTGCGGCTGACTTATCGTTGAATTGTACTACGACCTCGATTCTTTGCATAGTAGCGACTCGTAACGGAGATTTTGGAACTACACCTCAAACAGCGACTACAATCAGTCGAAATTAGAATCATTTCCGCTTACAATCAAATCTCTTAAAAATATAAAGCAACATCCTGATTGCTTCTTCAGTTTAAATTTACGTTTACATTTACAGCTACGGCAATTTGCGTGCAAAGGTCTTCGTTATGTTTGTTAATTCAAAAGTCTCCGCTATGAGTCAGCACTGTTCATAACAAGTCGAGTATGACTCAACGACAAGTGAGACGCGTACTTCTGTTTTCAAATAATCGACTCAACAATAGGTCAGGAAACTATAGGTGAAAATTTGAGAAGGGCAAGCCTCTAGATAATTCAAATAAAATACTGCGAATAAAAATACGTTTAATATCGCTTATATTTCTTCACGTAAGTGAAAAGAAAAAACGGCGATGCAATTATCCTTCAGCATAGAACGTATACATTCTAGACGACACGACCACGGTGATTTCGTGTAACCGCCAAGTCATTTATGACATTTGATATTGTAGGCGCACTTGACAGCCCGCTTTGATCAGTGACAGAGTTCGAGCGACTCGCCTTGATGAATTCGCTAGGAATACGCGCGATGAATGCGAGCCCGAGACTCGCGCGAGCGTTGTGATTCGCGCGGAAACTGTGGAACATCGACGAGATACGCTGAACGTTCACGTTATCGAGGAGCTTTACATGATCCGCAATTGCACGTTGCTGACAAGTAGACAACCTTCCCCTCGTCGCTTAGTGTAACACACACAACGTTCATTCCCGACACGCTTTTAAACGGCCGATTACCAAATGTCAAAGAACAAACTCAACTTAACGCTACCACCTGGCTCGATAGAACCAGCACCTGCAGTGTCACCGTCACCGCCGGTTCCGCCCTTGCCCACGTACTCGGAACCACCAGTAATACCCGAGTAAGTCGGCGACCGTGTTTCGTTAGATAAGCTCATCTCAAGCAATAGTAACGTTACTGGCGATATGGCGATGTTTACTGTCTCTAAGGTATCTAGTTGTTATAGAATTTCAATCCAAAAAAAGTTGGATATATAAAATACTCGAGAATCCTGTCGGTGTGTGTGTATGTGTTGCTCTCGACTTGGAGCAGTCCTACACTTTTACATCTCTGATCGTTTTTCGTTATATGAATACGTAGCGATTCTGCCTCTCCCCTGAGAATTACCGGGGGATCACCGTGAAATTTCGCGAATGTCTGCATTTTCGGTTTTTCAGCGGTGTGATGGGTAGAATGAGCATTGATGTTATTCAAGAGAGATTCGAGGAACTAGAAATGGACGAGGAACAGAGGAAACGATTGGAAAGCTTTCTTGGTCAAAAAGAGAAAGTTGGAGAGTTATGCGATGAGGATTTTGAAAAGTTGGGTGAATTGGGCGCCGGCAACGGTGGTGTTGTTATGAAAGTTAGACATAAAAAGTACGGTCTTATAATGGCAAGAAAGGTAAATATTTCTTGTTTGTCCGTTTGTTGGATTATTAAAACTTGCTGTCATTCTCACACGAGACTTATTTGCATTTTAGTTAATACACTTGGAAGTGAAGCCGGCTATCAAGAAACAAATAATCAGAGAATTGAAAGTACTTCACGAATGTAACTTTGCGCATATAGTTGGATTTTACGGTGCTTTCTACAGGTAAATTTCGCTAGGTTCTTTTCGAGACATCGTTTTGCAGGCCATAAGCCAAGTATGTGTGTGTTACAGTGACGGAGAAATTAGCATATGTATGGAATATATGGATGGTGGATCCTTAGACCTGATATTGAAAAAAGCAGGACGAATTCCAGAACCTATCCTAGGTACAATCACATCTGCTGTGAGTAAAGTTTTTATTGCTAAAAATATCTTACTTCTTAGATAAATTCTACGATGATGGTTATACAATATGAGAAGGGACGCACAATAGGTTGTCAACAATTGAAAATTATATCGACTGTTTTTTCTGAAATCTGCCAGATCTCTGATCTGTAAGAAAGAGAGCGTCAATAATACGTCTCTCTATCCATAATTCCACCCGGAAATTGACGAATGCACCAGCGTCTCAGTTCGTCGTAAACCCAAAGAAACAGCCCGAGCGGTAAACAGGGCCAGTACCAATAAGCTTTCAGTGCCATAGTTTTCAATACGTGCTCCGTGCCAGGAACGTACAGCAAGATCCCCGTCAGGACTAACTCAAAGATGAATGAAAAGTTGACGAACCAGTTGTCCATTCCTTGCTGGAAGACAGAGTTGCGTCTGGTCTTGCACATCACCAGGTCTACCATCTGCAAGATCACGATGGCGAGGAAATAGCCGCTTCGCGCCTCGTTCAGTAGGTTCATCCTGTTTTCGTAGGTCCACGTTTGGCCCCACGAGTCCTGCAGATCGTTGATCGATGGGTCATCCCACTCGATTCGCAGACCCAACAGTCGATCAGGCATGAAGCCGTTCAGCATCAACACCATGAAGTAGGTGTAGAATCCAGCGAAGGACTGCGTCATTCCGACCTGGCCGTAGGTGAAGGATATCAGACGCTTGTTCACCAACTTGTCGTACTGAGGATTCCGCGGTGCTCGGCGCATTATGTCGGACTCGGCCTTCTCGTAAGCCAGCGCGATGGCCGGGATCAGGTCGGTGCCGACGTCTATGCAGATCACCAGTTCGATGACCAAGGGCAGCGGAATGGCGAATATCAAGCCGCTGAGCATCGGCAGCATTTCCGGCACACTGGACGTCAAGGTGTACGCGATCGACTTTTTCAGATTGTCGAATATCAGCCGGCCTTCCTCCACGCCGGTGACGATCGACGCGAAGTTATCGTCCATGAGTATCATGTCGGCGGCGTTCTTGGCGACGTCGGAGCCGGCGATACCCATCGCGATCCCGATGTCGGCCTTCCGCAGGGCCGGCGAGTCGTTTACGCCGTCGCCGGTCACCGCCACGACCTCGCCCAGTCGTTGGCAGCTCTCCACGATCAGTAGCTTCTGCTGCGGCGACGTCCTCGCGAACACGATCTCCTCGTATTGGCGTATCACGTTGTCCAGTTGGTTCGAGTCCATATCTCGCAGTTCGCTGCCGGTGATGATGATCGCGTCGGTCTCCACATCGGTCAGCTGCGTGTAAGACTTGTTCTGCAGGATCGCCCTCTCGTACCTGGTCTCGTGACCTTCGCCGATGATGCCGACCTTCTTGGCGATCGCCATCGCCGTCACCGGGTGGTCGCCCGTGATCATGATCACCTTGATACCGGCGGTGCGGCACTTTTCCACCGCCTCGGGCACGCCGGGCCTCGGCGGGTCCTGCAGACTGATCAGTCCGACGAACCTGTAGCCCTTCATGGGGAAGTTGTAGCTCGCGGGCGAGTCGGTGTTGAACTTGTAGTTCGGTCCGTATACGTTAGTGGACAGCTGCTGGTCGCAGTAAGCCAGCACCCGCTCGCCGAGGTAACCCAACTCCGTGCAGGCTCTGCGACATATCGAGTGGTCGTTCGCGGTAATGTCGTGGGTCGTGCCGTCCGTGTTGAGGATCTTCGTGCAGAACTCCAATATCACCTCCGGGGCGCCCTTCATGATCATCGTGTAGCCATGGATGTCCCGGTGTATCGACATCTGATACTTAGTGATGGAGCTAAACGGGATCTCGGCGACTTTGGGATGAGCGTCGCGGAGCCGCTGCGTCTGGTGGATATGCTCCCAGAACCGGAGAATGCCCGTCTCGGACGCGTCGCCGATCACTTGGCGCTCCTCGATGGGCGCCAGGATGGCCGACTCCCTGGTAAACTCAGCACGCAGGCAGAGAGTGCTGACCTTCATCATAATTTTGAAGGCCGGCTTCTCGAACAGCAGGTCCAGCTCTACGCCCATCCGCCCGCCCGGTGGGAAGTGGTACCTGGTGTGGCCGAACCAGAGATTCGACACGGTCATCTTGTTCTGCGTGAGCGTGCCGGTCTTGTCCGAGCAGATCGTCGAGGTTGAGCCCAAAGTCTCCACCGCCTCTAGATTCTTCACCAGGCAGTTCTTGCTAGCCATCTTCTGCGCGGTCAGAGTCAAGCACGTCGTCACAGTGACCAACAGCACCTCGGGCACGTTGGCGATGACTATCCCGAGCAGATAGGTGAACGCTCGCACGAGATTCGGCTCCACCAACAATGACAGCCCGAAGAACAAGGCGCCGCTCAAGATCGCCACGATCGTGATGATCTCGACGAAGTATCTGATCTCCTTGGCGATCGGCGTTTCGATCTTCGGCAGGTGCGAGGTGAGCCCGGCCAGACGGCCGATCATGGTGCGATCGCCCGTGGCGACGACGATCCCTTTACCCTCGCCCGCCACGGCGAATGACGAGAAGAAGGCTACATTGGCGGACTCGAGGGGATTGCTGTCGGTGGGATAATTCGTACGAACCACCGGCTCGCTCTCACCAGTGATACTGGAGTTCTCCACCCTGAGTCCGTGGCAGTCGATGATCCTGATGTCGGCCGGTATCTTGTCGCCCGTACGAATCTCCAATAGGTCGCCCAAGACCAATTCTTCCGTGCCCAGTCGCAGCTTAACGCCACCGCGAATCACCGTGGCGAAAGTCGGCACCATCTTCTTGAAGGACTCCATCACTTTAGTGTTCTTTGCCTCCTGTATATAGGCGAATATACCCGAGGTGAGACAAATCAGGACGATAATAATGCCCAACCAGATAATACCGATATCGGGTTCTTCCATCATGTAAGTGACTAAGTACAGGATAAAACATAAGGTTGCACAGATCCACAGCAACAAGGCGAACCCGTGGAACAGGCATTTCAAGAACTTGATGTACTCCGGAGTGACCTTGGGCGGCGACAAGGCGTTCGGCCCGTCTCGTAGAAAGATAGCGAGCGCTTGTTCCTCCGTCAGACCACTCTTCGGATCGGTGTTCAGTTTCTCGCAAAGATCAGCCAAGGGTATCAAGTGGTCGACAGTCTCCAATTCCTGATGCAACTCCTCTATTTCCTGTTCGGTCAGTTTCTTCTTATGTACGTGCACGGAGGACGTGCGGGACAGAACCGCTTGCTGTATTTTCGAAGAACTCGGCTGCATCTTTCGCGACGTGGTGAACACGTGGCTGGAAAAACTCGGCGTCTAATTCTGAATTCAAATCCGAGTAGCTCACTTGAGACAAGTAACAATTATTGATACGAGTGATGAATAAACGATATGTATAATACTTTCGTGAAAAGCCGTGGAAAATATAACTTCATGAGAAGCTATTGTATTTCTGCTATGTTCACAGCACAATGTGTACGAGCAGTCATTTCACCGCCAACTTCTCTCTACGAATTTTTCTCCGTTGCAGGTTCTGAAGGGTTTGAGTTACTTGCGGGACAAACACGCTATAATGCATCGCGACGTGAAGCCGAGTAATATTTTGGTCAACAGCGCGGGAGAAATTAAGATTTGTGATTTCGGTGTTTCCGGACAATTAATCGATTCGATGGCCAATTCGTTCGTAGGCACACGAAGTTACATGTCGGTGAGTAACATACTTGAGACTATTTTGTCGAATGAAATTCCACTTGAAAAGCAGAGGGACAACCACGAATTTTCACTCGTTTCGAGTGATATTTCACTCGATAAACATTTACGGAAGAGATATCAAATGTTTCTTTTTTCGGGAGCGATTAACATCGAGACTTTTCAGCCAGAGAGATTACAAGGGACACATTACTCAGTACAAAGCGATATTTGGTCGTTAGGATTGTCGCTCGTCGAAATGGCGATCGGTCAGTACCCCATCCCGCCACCGGACGAGAAAACACTAGCCTCCATATTCGGTCCACAGTCGGGTCAGCCGCCCGCGGAGAATTGCGCGACGAACAGCGTGTCCACGCCTACGACTCAGTCGCCAGGACACAGTCAGTATCTCGCTCAAATTTTGAACCCTCTGAATGCTGTGGACGTATATACATGTCCGGAATAGGGAATTTTGCTAGAAATTCTTGGCCTTTTTAAGACACTGCTTCGTTTCCGCTTCGTTACCTCTGATATCACTAATTATCTCGTCGAGTTTCAGCCACTTCTTCATTGCGCAGCTCTGCAATCAAAGTTTTTATATACATTGTCTGCAAACGTAATTGTCGTTTGTAATTTTCGGCGATTCACGCAGATGCAAGCCCAGGTCCGAGGCCCATGGCCATATTTGAACTGTTGGACTACATAGTAAACGAGCCACCCCCGAAACTGCCGCCTGGTGTATTTAGCGATGCCTTTACGGACTTCGTCGATCGGTGTTTGAAGAAGAATCCGGCCGAGAGGGCAGACTTGAAGACACTAATGGTGTGTGCCCTGAATTGAAAGAACGGTCTCGGTAAAATCGTTGAAGAAGACTCGCTGTATATTTTACGATGTCTTTTTTTGTTCTCTCCATCTTCTTAGAATCATGAATGGATAAAGAAGGCAGAGTCGGAGAACGTGGACATCGCCGGGTGGGTGTGCCGCACGATGGATTTGCAACCGACTACGCCAACGCGTTTAGCAAACGTGCAGTCCTGAATAGATGTAACTCTTACATACTTGGCTACGTATATGCGCGTTCGGTATTCCTAAGTCACTTTTAAGTTTATCTTAGGTTCCATTCGGTCGTACAGTGGCGCTTATCCGTTGTACTCCCTTCGGTATATCTCTTAAAACGAAATTTACGAGATTCGTGCGCATCGCCGTTCGAGCGGCGCTTCCCTGGAGCGGTTGTTAGGACCAAACAGGTTGATACACCGTGTCATCCGTCTCATTCTCTTGATTTTACGGGGAGAAGCGTAATTTTCAAGCATAGATAACACGATATCTTGATACTACTATCGCCGTAAGCTGTATCGTCATCGAGATGATTATTTCGCACGCAGTTACGCCACTGTGCCAAGTATTAATTTCGGAGGTTTCACTTTATGTGTTCGTTCTATGCTTCTGTTGAAAGTATGTAAGACGAGAAGAGTATCGCAATATAAGTTTATTATTAGAGACTCTCATGGGCAAATTGTGTTCCCCGTGATACGATATTTAGGATACACGAATGGAGCATCGAACATACATACGGGAGAGCGAGAGAAAGAGAGAGTACATCCTTTAAAGAAGAAGAGAAACAAGAGAGGAAAAATTAACTAGATCGAGTTACTTGTATAGCATTTGTACCTGACATCCATAGGAGCGTTATTTACACGATCAAAAACTTTATTCTATTGTCACGTTGAACTGTTGTTTTCTCTTAGCAATGCATGGCTGCGATTAAGCGTGACTTCGAGTTTTACTTTCGCATAGACGAGACTCGTCTCTCACCGCGGTGACTCATTTTAGAGAGGAAAAAAGACAATATGAGGAGAATGTTTCTAGAATATATAGTTTAAACGCTGCGGATTAATTCGCTTGCGATTGTTGAGTTCTTGCGAATTTTTATGATCGTGCGGATCTAGAGATTGTAATGGGTTCCTCCGGTACTTCCGGCAGAGATGTACCTGAGGCTTAAACCTAATTTTCCACATAATCGCGGCCTTACATTATGAATAATTCGTAACACGGTTTGATCTATGTTCACGTATTCAGTAGGTAGTATCAAACTGTGAATCCTTTTGCTGCAAAGGATGAAATCCTTTTGGATGAACAGTTATGACGCATTGCCATCTTATTAAAGAGAGGAAGAAAGAGAAGAGATTCGTCTGAAGCGCAGCGAAAGGATTGACCCTCTGTGTATGTGTGTGTATGTGCGCGTGTGTATAAACGCACGTCGAATCTGTGTGTGTGTGTCGTGTGCAGTTTTTATAAAGTGCATTTCAAAAGCGTCGAGCCACTTTGTGGCTACTTGTTGCTTAACTTGAGATTCACGAGGAGAACATGTTATAACGGAGGGTTTCATTTCACCGTTGTCTCTCATATTATATGTCGTCGAATATATGTCATCGCAATTATCCACTCATATTTAAGCAGACGGTGAATTTTCTTTTTTAGTACTTAATGATCACAGCATCATTGTGGTGAGAGAGTTGAAAGATTTAATATATTCGTCGGAGTTATGCGCGAGTTAACGCGTCAACGACAGTGCAATAGGATTATCGCGGATACACACGATTAGATATTGTACATATTTTCAAATTATGATATTATGATCAATCGATGAATTCGTCGATAACTTTTTAATTCCGAGCATCATGTATTTTGTAGACACGATCTACAAGTTAGTCTCACATTGCGTATAATAGTAGCCCTCTCTGAGTTGGCTTCAAAATCATTGGATTATGTTACGAGTATATATATATATATATATATATATATATATATATATCGTGATATTTGTAAGCCGGGCGAGATATTCCCCCTTCCCCAGCATGTGTAGAAGCGTAAGACGCTCAAAAAATTTCATATTACATTCATCTCGCGATTAACAGTAACAATAATAATAATAATGAAATATATATATTATATATATATATATATATTCTCTTATATATATATAAGAGAAACAAACGCATATAATGCCATTTGTTGTAAAGTGATCTCTATAATCTACTATAGGACGACAATATACACGTTTAGCTGCAAAGAAAGATCACGTCGTAAAGTGTATGAGATATGTCAATATAATTTAGTGACTTTTATCAAGCGATAAATCATAATCTCGCGTAAAGGCTCATAATTCCTACCACTTATTAAAATACGTGCACATTCCTTGTTGCAAATATGTGCATAACAATTGCAGTTGTATGGATTCACTGTGTCTAAGCGTCATAATTATAAGTACAATAAAATTATCAATATTGCAAGAGTGTAATTTCACATTTTGTATCTCAACCACCCGAGCGTGTAGCTATGCATGTAACATGCGCAATATGTTTACATTACGACGGATATTGGATGTGCTAGAAATTAGTTTTTTTTTCCATTGGATATTTTTTTTTATTATTACCATACAATGTAAAGTAACAGTGACTTCTATAATATTACTTGTATTTGATCGTAATACAACTTATGTTTGTTTTAATACTCTCGATGCCGCGGCATCGGACGTAACGAAACGGCAGTGGCCAGTCAGGTACATCTGCTACTTTGTCTCTCGAAGACGACTTATTCGTAATATATATAGTTGAAAACAAAAACATTTGAGAAAATATCCATTATTTATTTGCAAACACATCACTTAAAGAATTAATGAGCGCTCTTCGTATTAGAAACACTCGACTAACGAATAAATAGAAATCTAATCTAGAAAATCATCTACAAACTATATCTGAAAAACTACCATTGATTCTCAGGATGTCATTAGGTATTTACAAACATTCGTCGGACTGAATTTCATCGGCTTAAACGTTTAATTGTTTTACAAACGTGGAGTCGGATTGTGAAGGTTAATTATAGAAACATGACTAAAGATTCAACGACGTTGAATCTCTACACATCTATAATCATGTAAATCTCTATAAACTTATAATCTCCTCAGTGGTAAAGAACCTGCAGGGTGTTAATTTCTTGCGCGATTAATTCAAGAGAAACTTTCCATACGAATACAATTTTAATTAATTTCGCGTTGAATCTCTATATACACAGCCATCAAAAAGAAAGTGACATAATCTTATATTTCTATAAAATGACTAGTATGTTAAATCACTCACGACGCTTCTAGCACGTCATTGTATACTTTTTGGCATAAGAAATATGACGAGCCAGAGACATCATACAAGGCCAAAAAGACAATGAATTGAAATGATGTTACCTGTTTGCATCGGGGAGTATATAGAGGAATCGAAGATGAAGACATTTTTTGTTTATACATCTGTGAAGTAAGCAATCGATTTATATATGCATGTTTCATTTAAAAAATTGAAGCGTAACTTGTATGCAGGAACAATCGAGGAAACTTTTCTGGTGCGTAGCGCGGAAAAAGCGTTCCCTGTCATAGATGTATAGGATTTAACAAAAAGTGTAATAGATTCCTCCATCTGTGCTCAAATGTTGTAACATCAATTCAACGACACCCACTATGTGCCATATTGACATTAACAGTTTGCAAAAACGGAGATATTTTATGTTCATCTGTTAAAACAATTTGTGTTTCCCAAATGAACATTTTTAATATCATATTACTAGGTCGACTATCGCAGATTTGTTTAGCAGCTTCGTAAGTGGCATTCGTAATGCTGCAGCATTTAGAAAGATTTAGTAATTGTAATTGAGGCGAGGATGCAAGAACTTTGCATATCCCATCGTCCGTTATTGATGGACATGAGTGGCATTCAAATTCTTTTAGGTTCACTATGTTTTCCAAACCATGATCGGTAATATTAGTCAAAAGATTGATATATAAATATCTCAGTTTTGGTAATGTTGTAATAGCAGTCAATCCGGCATCGCTCACGTTGTAGCAACCTAATGGACAAGAGAGATCATACATTTGAAATATTTGGAATATACCTAGAAGCGCAGAAAGCATATATAGCATTATAATTTACCTGAGATGTTTACATAAGTAATCTGCGGACAATTCAGCGCCACACTGACGAGCTGCTCGTCTGACAATGCGGTAAAGTGTGTAATTTGTAACACTTGCAAATTGACAATGTTGGTAAATTGTAGCATGTCCACATTTTGTAGGAAAGAAAAATATCCGTGGATTCGTAACTCTCTCAATTTTTTACAATGATTGCTGATAACTTCTACTGTTTTTTCACCAATACTAGAGCAAGTACATATTTCAAGATATTCCAAATTTTCGAGCCTTGCCAATGCCTGCATTAAAATATTATTGAAACATTATTAACGTTTCACATATATCAACTAGTTGATACAAAAGAAAAATTAGAAAGAAAAGCTTCAAGAGACTTACTGTGGAAAATTCAACATCTGCAATATTATGGCACTGCTCTACTATAAGTATACGCATTGTCTGGGTTGGCAAATATGATAGGCATTTACCCGAGATGTCACTATTGGAACGTATCGCAAAATGGTTTAGATCTTGATATTCTTTGAAAACATTCTTCAAGTCGTTATCCAATACGTGTGTGGATGCTCCTAGGCTAAGCCTAGTTATCTTTGTACATCTTTTCGTTAATGTATATAGGCCCGTCGTACAAATTGGCAATGCAGAAACATCAATATTTGTGAGATTGGGGCAGAATTTCGCAATCATAGTCAATGTACCTATGCCCAAATAATTGGGTACTTCGGATATATCTATTTGTGTTAAGAATCTACCACATTTTAGTAATACTTTCCGTAGCACAGCTGTACTGATATGGTACATTATTGGGTGACCCCATGTAAAGTGTGAGATATCCAATTTCTTCATTGTACGCCAAGATTCTTGACTTAAGATTCTCCAACGTTTGCATACTACAAAAGTAGTAATAAAGTAACATGTACAAGTTTTTTGGGAAAAGGAGAAAAGCTATAAAAGCAACTTGTTGAAGTTCTTACCTCTTTCTATACGGACTCTGTCGGCAATTCGTAAAAATTGAAAAATGTGTATCAAGCAATCATCATTCAGCATGTGGATAGGCGCATTTCTAAAATAATCTTGTGTATATTCCTGGGTATATTCTATGTCTGGTTTTTTCTCAGAAAGTTTTTGTTCCACACTATCAGGTTGATTCCAAGAATCTGCAGCCATTACTCTCAAGTCTCTGTTATACAATCTTATTTGTTTACTACATCCATCCTTTAAAGCTCTGCAAATGATCAGATGTTACAAATAGTGATCAGTGTTAATATTCTCTTTGTTGAAGTTTACCTCATCGCACTTGGAACATCACTAAATGTGATAAAGGCATAGTTTCTTCTTCCCTCGTTTCTACATAAGTAACAACCTTCAACCTTACCATATACAGAAAAGAGGTTTTTTACATCTTTGAAAGTAGTCTGTAATATAGTTCGGTCAGTCAGATAGATATGCGCTATTGTAAGGCAAAATACAATTTTAAGCTTTTCGGTACGGCTATAATTTGTTTGTCACATAGTGTCATTTCATTGACTAAGATTAATAAGATTTGAAAAGTACTTCTTTTTGCATGACAATCATGAATATTTTTCATCAAGGCATTTTTGCTTGCACATGTAACAAGTCGTATTGCAAAATTAATTGTGTCGAGTTTAGCCGAGGGTCGTACCGAAGAGGTTAATATAATGGAGAAATACGAGACAAACCCTTTCAGCTAAATTGCCGATGAACAATTTTCGTATCGGTACACCGTCTATTGATGCTGGAAATAAATCATCTGCGCACAAAATGCAGACTTAGTTTAACAGGTAAGAGATTCTGATATCGCTTAGGTAACAAATTTGCTTAGCGATTTACCTTCACTTATATATTCAGTTATATTACGATATAATTGTGTGAAACGGTTTTCTAAAGTGTCCATAGTCGATTCTGCTTTGTAAATTTCAACTCGTCTGTACTCTCGATGTACTCGTCTTTCAAACAGCTCTCTAATATTTTCAATAATTTTACACCTTGCACATGAAGCACGAGTAACCGCACATGATATAGTACGGTGATTAATGGAGTCTTTTTTGAGTGTAGAAAGGTGTAGATTTGCGCGTCAGAGCTATGTTCCGAAATGTGCTGACACGTTCAGCAGAACATTTATTTGACAACTGATGGAAGTTTTCTGAGCTGAAATTGAATTATTTTTTTTAATCTAAAAGAATAATTCCATCTTAGCACAGCATATATTTCTAACGGCTGTAAGATAAACTTTCTGCTAATCGCGACCAAATCTACATTTATATCATATGAATGTGTGTGTGTGTGTGGGTAGGCTGCGTTCCAATATTCAGTGCTGAAAATCCAGAGTATTACACGTAATACGAACTACAGATTTTCAGCGTTGGCAGTGAATTTTGGAAAACAGCTATATTATATTCTGACTCTAGATTTTCAATATCGGAATATACATACACACGCACACACACACCAGTGATGAGAGTTGCACAAATGTGCTTGCATAGTTCGCGGGTCTCCATGAGATGTCTTTATAGTCTTTCCTGCTGGCGCCGTCAGAAGGCGCTTCTTCGATACTTTGAGCTATCTTATTCGATCGATTTATCGACTGTGGATAGTGAGCGAGAATGAAAAATGGCTGAATCAAAATCTTTCGTGTGATGTGCTGAGATTCGTGCACTATGTAATAATGGGAAAATAACGGTTCATGTTGTACTTCATAATACAAAAATAATGTCCGATACGCGCGACGAAAGACGTATCATTGCTGCCGAAAGGTATGATGAATATTCGACGCTTACTTCGAAGTAGTAAAACGATATCTAATTTCTTGGAAGGAGCAAATGAAGATTCCGACATATATTTATATTCTGTAGATATTTGAATTTCTTAAATCGGAATTGTTGCATTTTGAAGAGATTATTCAGTAAATCGGAATCTTTAACAGTTTAAAATATCAATTCCATGTGTCTCGTAAACGTTTTCACTCGATATTTTACAAAATATGGAGCATATTCATTTTCACGAAGATACATTCTTTTCGATTCGCGCGTTTCACAGGCGAACGTCCAGCACGTGATATATCGTAAGAGCATACGCGACAAAATATGGCTGCATTCCTCGAGAATCCGTTGTTCTTTTTTGTCGATGACGCAGAACCGATTCTTCCAATTTTTCAATCTTCCGAATATAACGACTCGGGAAGAAAGATTATAGAATTAACAGATGTTGGTTGCGATACAGAAACAACACTTCCCATACATTTTTTACGTGGTAAATTCAATCGGCGGCACAGAGGAGCCGAGAGCTTTGGATCTGCTCGTAGAAGCACTAAAGGACACAATAAAAGACCGACAAATTTCTCCGTGCGTACAATTTTAGATGACTTTGAAGTAAGCTAAGTAATCGGCAATCAATAAACACGTCCTTAATTATTATTTATCAATTTATCAAATAAGTTTGTATATCATGATAACATTCGAAAAACTCCACAAAATCTTGGTTACATTCCTTTTGATGCAATAGCAATATTATTGAAATTAATACATCATATTTTTTTAATAATTTGCGAGTATTAGTTTCAATAATATTGCGTTCATACAACAGCTTTTTTTCCGTGTTCTAATAATCACGTAACGTTCTAATAATCATGTAACTATTCTTTTATTCTATCGACAGGACAACAAGGAAAAATACATGAAAGATAAATCATGGCGAACTGATCGAAATGATGGTTACAATGATGTATACATTGCCGATCTGGATTACAATTCCTACGCTGAGAATTCCTACAATGACTGGGAGTTTTTGAGAAACAGTTCTCCCATCGGATATGATAATGATTATTATGCCGAGTTCGTTAGCTCCCGAAATCAAACTGGACGTTCCCGGAAGGAGTGTCCGTCTCAAAATGTGCGATATTCGAAAAATATCGAGGTTCCATTCTCGCGGTGTAATCGCGCGTCTCGAGAGCGCGATGAGCGTGCTCATTATCAAAGGAAGAACACTTGTACCTCGCGGTTCATCGACGGTGACGAGAGAAACGTTTATGAAACTCGTAATACCGACGTTCGATCGAGACGATTACCATTCAGCGAGCATAGGAAACGAATGAGAATTTTCCCAAGAACGGACGACTTCAACCACTTCACCGGTACGTTCTTTTAGGCCTTTAGACGTAACCAGTATTTAATCGTAATCGTAAATCCGTAAGTAAATTGACCAATTACAGTTTACTATTCCCTTTGCCGTCGAAGAATAATTAACTGCGATTGGTCAGTTTAAAATCTTTAAAAACGAACGAATTAACAATCTTGAATCTCAGAAAACTTAAGAATATCTCAGATGGATGAATATATTTTTATATTTTGATTCTTTTCAATTCTGTTCCAGAATGCGAAAAAGACCGCGTCGGACGGGAACGGCGAGAACGTGAGAACGCTTCTTTCAACTACGTTGATTCCGTCGGGTTTTCGAAAAATGACGCCTGGAATTTTATTTCATCAGAGAACAAACCAAATTACGAGGAATCAACATCCTCAAATTCGGCAACAGTGAATAATTGCAGACGTTTATGGAAAACGATGTCCCAGAATCTCGATTCGACTCACGTGGACGCTACGGACTCGGAAAACAGCGAATTTACGGAAACACGGGAGAAAAATAGCTCTACGGATTTATCGTCCTCAAAGAACCCGATTAAAGGCACGAGATATCAAACCGCGAAAAACGACATGGCGACGGAAAAGTCCAAGACTCAATCAAATTTGCACGATACAAATACTCCTCGTGTTCAATCGACAGGAATAACCACGGATCACCGGCCGTCAAAAATGCGCTCCATGAAAAAAGGTAAGGCCTAGACAGCACAAGCTCCTAAATATGTTTAAAATACATATATGTGACGATGAAAAAAAAATGTTTATGCTCGCATTATCATTTTTATATCCACGTTAACTATTTTACTTAAATATGTAAAAAAAAAAAGAAAAAAGAACGAGCTCGGATGTTTCGGGCTATCGGCTACGTAGTAATGTATTATATAGACCGCGTTGTCAGTGAGTAGTTTTTAAAAGCATCGGCAGATGTCTCTACTGTGGCTATATTCGAAGTCGAACGTGTAGGCGATTCTTCGTACGCAGCCGCGTCGTTAGAGTTATTAGCGTCGTGTTAGCGCCATTTTTACGATTAAAATGTAAGTCCAGTATAGAAACGTATATATTAAATAGTTAAGAAATATCCACAGTGTCCTTACATACACGAGACAATAACAAACGATTCGCTCGTTTATCTTCCTCTCGTGCAAGTTGTACACATTTTTACAGCCACGACCAATACGAAGTTGCATTCGCCGGTTGAAGAGAGAAAAAACGACGCGAACTACGCAACACCAACCGAGAGAAGAGCCGAAATCGCAAATTTGAACTCCGCCCAAACGCGAACCGATAACCACCGACGTCGCGACAACTTCGGCAATACTCGAGTTAAGCTCCCTTATAAACCTCTCAATGATACCGGCCAATCAGCTAAAAATACATCTAAACATGTCGCGGATTCGAGGAGCACCGAACCCACATACGCGGCGAATAGGAAAAATAACGCCGGTTCTCCCGTCGAAAGTGTCAATAAGAATGGCGAATTCGATCGAACAATTCTGTCGCGATCGGCGTCCGAGGAGGTAACGGAGGAGAACGAAGAAGCAACTTTCTCGGGATTACTACCCACTTCGCCGGGTACAGAAACAGAGAAGAAGAGAAAAGTCTCCAGGTTACCCGTGAGAACGTGGAAACGCATGCGAACGAGGGGACCCGTCGCGTCGCATCTCGAGAATGAGATAACGCGTGAGGCTGCTGGTGAAAAGCATCAAGACGCGGACGTCGCTTTCGAAGCTGCGCAGCTGAGCAAGCCGAGGAGCATGGAGGATGAAGAAGACCGCGAGAAAATCGCGAGAGATCGTGCGAGCAGACATCGCGACGATCTAAAGCCGAACGATCGTTACAGAAGAGGGAAGTTGTTCGTCGCCGATAAACCGGGGTCAGCCCCCATCGATCTGAACAGTTTAAAGGGGACCAAAAGCTTAAACGCGACGAAGGGGACACCCGAGCAGCGGAAGAAGAGAATGAATTAGAGAACGAATAACAACGGTTATTTTTCGAATAACATCTAACGAGTATGGGATAAAGTAATTTTTCAGCGATATACATACACACATGTACTATTGTAATTATTTTGCGATTTGCTTCTCACGAGAGCACGAAAATCATCGACGACGAGCGGACGGGGCAGAGTGTTGTAAAGGGCAAAAAATCAAATAAAGCACAGCGACGTAAACGCTTGTGACTTGGCGAGTAAACGGTCACTCTTTGCGACCAATATCGTTTCTACGTGTGGTCCACGAGTGGAAAACTTTTTTCGGACGGAAAGCCCCGAGTATGGTATTCGAGGACGCGTAATAGGCGCATACGAGGCACGCATAATCCTGCCGCGGCGTAATGGGGCTGTACGATGGGTCACCTCAAAAGAAGACCCCCCGAATGATACCAATTATGCCATCAACGCACCATGCCGTCTCCCCCCGTACGGTTCTGTCACAGCACAGTCACTTCGCCCGCATGTCAACCCCCGCTTGCGTAACCACCCTATAGAGAGCGGCTCGTGTATAATACGTCGCGGTTCTCGCTGGGGTCTGGCGCGATCTCAGGATCAGAGGGAAAATATGTAATTGTCCATATTTACCCTTGCACCCGGCCCGGTACTCAAACAACAACACGAAGCCCCGACACCGACTGTGGTACGGCGACTTCGATTTAATCCCGACGGGTGAGTCTGATATTTTTATATCTCGCGTGACAGCGCACCACGTCCTGTATTCCATGGAACAATCGATACAAATTCCTTCGATTTGTTTGCAGCGATAACACCGGCGTGAAGGAGAATGCCACTCGTCGAGCCTACAACGGTTTACTTTCTCGTCGACGATCTTTCACTTTAGTCATATTCCACCGTGTTTCGATCTTCGTCAAGAGAGAGAGAGAGAGAGAGAGAGAGAGATAAGAAGAGATAACAACGGCGGAGAAGGCCGCTGAGCCGAAAAACAGGGTGACGACAAGAGAAGCGCAAAAAGGAGGCGAGTCGCGCCGCAGCCGAGCCGCCTCCCAGCTGGAGGCGGATAATCAAATAACCTGCACGCACCGTATAAATTATCAATCAGGGCGCGATTGTGCAACCCCAACAGAGGGAGCCATCCGTGTCGGTAAGGGTTGTTACACATTGACATCGCGGAGCGGTGCCGGGAAGAAGGGGCGGATTGTGTGCGACCTCGTCGTGTCGAGTGACCCCGCAACAGTTATCTTCCCTTCGTGCGTGGGCGTTCGTGAACGTGAGTTCACGCCCCCGGCTTCGAGGACGACAGACGACGACGCGTGCAGGCGAGCAGACGAGGGAGGCAGGCAGGCGAGGGAGGATCGTGAGTAAGGTGAGTAAGGTGCGTTGCACGTGTGCTCGAGATCCCGGATAGATACGA